GAAAAGTGCAGCTGAAGTCCATCGAATGCTTGAAGTTTATGGTGACACTGCTCCAATTGATAAATCATGTAGGGAATGGTTTCGACGTTTCAAGGATGGAGATTTCAGCGTTGAAGACAAGCCTCGCTCTGGACAGCCAAAAAATTCGAAGACAAAGAATTAGAGACAATACTCGAAGAAGATCAGAGTCAAACGCAAGAGGAGCTTGCAGAATCATTGGGAGTCAACAAGCCGGTTCTGTACGATCGAGAGCCATGGGAATGATTCAAAAACAAGGAAATTGGGTACCTTATGAACTGAAACTGAGAGACGTTGGAAGGCAATTTTTCACTTGCGAGCAACTGTTTTGAAGGCAACAAAGAAAAAGTTTTTTTGCATCGGACTGTGACTGAAGATGAGAAGTGGATATTCTACGACAACCCCAAGAAGAAAAAATATTACGCTGAGCCCGGTCGTTGCCATCGAACTCAACGTCAACACCAAAGCCGAATATTCATGGTTCAAAGATCATGCTCTGTATCTGGTGGGACCAAAAGGGTGTTGTTTCCTATGAGCTGCTGAAACCAGTGTTGTTAGACGGGCTCCCGTTTTCGCGCATGCGCATTAAACGTAGTCTCATTGCCGTACCTAACTCGAGCAAAATAGGGCGCTTATAGCCCCGGTATTGTTTTTGAAAGTTTACTAAAAAATTTCTAGAGAGAGAGAGAGAGAGAGAAAATTATTTAACAAATGAAATAAACTGTAATATTATACAATATATATATATGCAAATATAAATAACATTTATATAATTCAATATAATTTAAAGTATTGATTAATACAATAATATTATAAAGATAAGACAACAAAGGGAATAATGATAAAATAATTGTTTATAAACACAATTTTATATAAATAAAGATTCTTTATTAGGCAGAAATAAAAGAATACCAACATTTGTTGCATGGGTAAGGAAAACTGCCAAAAACCTTACCAATATTCATTAAATAAAATAAATGCTCTTTTTAAAATAATGAAAATATATAATATTGAGAAAGAGGGCAATGAGCCAATAATACCGTTAAAATCTTTAAATTATAATCTAATGTATTGCGAAGAATATCACGTAATTATGGCGTTTTGTCCCAGCTTCCACTACTGGACTCATCAGTAAGGTATTGTAGTGGAAGCCTACCTTAGACGCCTGTTTAAGTTATTAGATCAATATTCTATATATACAGATATGCGCGTATCAAAGCACTTGCGAGAATTTTTATGAATATCTATAGACCTCTGATGGCGGGTCGACGTAGTAATATTCTTCGCAATATTTATTTTAAAGTAATATATGTAAAATTTGGGGGGAATTTTCAGATAAAGTTGCGTTTCAAGACCGACGAATGTTCAGCGCGCAAGTTAAAAATGGGGGGGTGGGAGGGGAATTAGAGGAGCGAAATCGCTCAGTGCGTCTCTATAAATAGGCCCGCTCGCGATACATAAAAAACTCAATACGTAAAACTCGATACGTACAAGTCTAGGTATAAGTACGAGTATAGGTACGGGTTCAAGTAAGAGTAAAAGTATAAAATACATACGTAAAACTCAATACGTAAAACTCGATACGTACAAGTCTAGGTATAAGTACGAGTATAGGTACGGGTTCGAGTAAGAGTAAAAGTATAAAATACATACGTAAAACTCAATACATACAACTCAATACGTAAAACTCAATACGTAAAACTCAATACGTAAAACTCAATACGTAAAACTGAATACGTACAAGTATAAGTTTGAGTATAAGTATAAACTCAATATAAACTCAGTCATACGTAAAACTCAATACATACAACTCAATACGTAAAACTAAATACATAAAACTCAATACGTAAAACTCAATACGTAAAACTCAATACGTAAAACTCAATACGTAAAACTCAATACGTACAAGTCTAGGTATAAGTATGAGTATAGGTACGGGTCCAAGTAAGAGTAAAAGAGTGCAGAAGACTAATCCCGTGACGTATCTCTTGGAGGATTACCGCGGCGAACCGGTCGCCGGAGGATTCTACGAGCACGAGTTGCTTCGCGTCGCTAATCCCGACGTGTATCTAGTTGAAAAGGTGTTGCGTAAGAAGGGAGACAGGGTGTACGTCAAGTGGCTGGGATTCGACGGATCGCACAATTCGTGGATAAATAAACGAGATGTCGTGTGATTTAATTTTTTTTTTATTCGTATAAAATATATATATCAATATATGTATTGTGACCGTACTTTTGAGGAACGGCACAACTTCGTCACTTCATCCGCTGCTCTTTTTACGCGATAGCTCACAAGATGGACACAATAATGTAATTAGCAAAAGTGCGGTCCTTCCTTAAACTTTATGTGCTACGATATTCGAGCCGTACTAATTTTCGTTGGGCGCCAGACACGAGAGAGCGTGCCACTCTTCGCACTAAATTAAGAAGTTACGCTCGGACAAAGAAATTACAGAGCAACGGAATTCGCGACGGACAGGCTCAGCTAGCTCAGCCAACGAAATTGGTAGAGGGGGTGGTTCGCGATATGCGGGAAACAATGTCGGAGAACGAGGTAGAGACAGACAGAAATAATCAGACAGAAATTAACATTAAGAATAACAAAGAATTCCCACTTTATTCAGTTCGCGTCGATACATGAGTTGACGTAATTTATAGAATACCGCGGTCGCGCGTCGACGACAAGTTTACTTTATTAGAGAAAGTACAATGGCAAGGTCGTCGACGACGGTACTTAGAAATGTTCGACTCTAAGAACTTCCAGCACACCGACAGCCTAATGCTGAGCGGTGACACGCGGCTCGACTCTAATCTTAAACAAACCGGAATCTCAACAATACAAACAATATGACTTGGCAGTGACACGGGCGAGCAATAACGACAATCCTGAGTTCACAAACTCTTACGCTCGAGCGGATGGCACGCGCTCATCGACAGAAACAATGACGTTACTCTTTGCCGGTACGACATCGACCGAATCAAATCCGCGTAAATTCTCACACGCGATCCGCTCAAGACGCTCACAAAAGATTACGCGATCGGTGGCTTTACAATAAAACGAATAACGCTCGCCTCACCAAGATACTCCTCCTCAGCCGCTTCCTTCAAAGTCTGTACGAGAGCCGATAGCAGTGCTCATCTTCGACGAATATTCTCGAAATTCCTGACAAGTTATGGGCGAGATCCTGCGTCCTTACTCGAGGTCCGTCACTGCACAAGTGCCGATCGGAAGTTTCCGCGGATTCACGCAGGTCGTCAGGCCCTCTCTTATCGGCCTCTGCTTGCTCTAATTGGCTCGCCGCGACCGCGTGACCCCGCGACGAATCCCGCGGGTCCTTGCGTGTCGCGGATCCTTTTACGCTGTGGCGCGCTTTTCCAAAAGTCCGAAAATGCTTCCTTGTCGCTTGACGATCTTCCATCGATCGTTGTGGGACATGATGCTTCGGCGGATGTTCTGCCTTTGAGTCCGTTCCCAGCTGACGTCTCTCTCCGAGGCGTCTGCAATGAGGGTGCGATAATCCACCAAATAATAGCGACATTAATAACAAATATGAAATAATACGACCTGCGTGTGCCGCGCTTCTCGTGACTTCAGCCAAATTCTTCATACAGCAATCTCTTCCTCGTGGGAGGCGACGTCTTCTCTCTTCTAGCGATAGGTGAGGCGGCCGAACACAAGAATACAGCGTAGCCACCGGCTCTGATCGTGAATTACCGGCAAAATCCGAGCTCAGGATCGTCTTAATATTAACTAAAACTTAACTAAATAGCGACAAGAAGAAAAAAAGAAAAATAATACAATAATCGCAAGAAAAAGAATAAAATTAAGTAATACAATAATCGCAAAAAGGAAATAAAAATAATAAATAATGTCGCATATTCGCTTGTGCGCTCGCCCGTTGACCCTGAAGGACCCAGGATCTCGCGTTATGCTGTTTTTCTGGGTGACTGACAAAATGTCACGTCACAGTATGTATCAAAAATATATATACCATTATATCACGATATCGTTGTCGTTCTTTATTCCTTTCAATAAGGCACACACACGAATGATGACAAAGTATAAAGCTCTCTGTAACGTTACAATATTACATACGTGCATACATGCGTACGTACAAGTACATACTCAGTATAAACTCAATACGTACAAGTATACGTATAAACTCAGTATAAACTCAATACGTACAACCTAATACGTACAACCCAATACGTAAAACTCAATACGTAGCACTCAATACATACATGTATAAGTTTGAGTATAAGTATAAACTCAGTATAAACTCAATCATACGTAAACCTCAATACATAACACTTAATACGTAAAACTCAATACACAAAACTCAATACGTAACACTCAATACATACAGGTATAAGTACAAGTTCGAGTATAAGTATAAACTCAGTCATACGTAAACCTCAATACATAACACTCAATACGTAAAACTCAATACGTAACACTCAATACATACAGGTATAAGTACAAGTTCGAGTATAAGTATAAACTCAGTCATACGTAAACCTCAATACATAACACTCAATACGTAAAACTCAATATACAAAACTCAATACGTAACACTCAATACATACAGGTATAAGTACAAGTTCGAGTATAAGTATAAACTCAGTCATACGTAAACCTCAATACATAACACTCGATACATACAGGTATAAGTACAAGTCTAGGTACGAGAAAACGCAATATAAAAGGACATATATAAAATACATGAAACTCGATACGTAAAACACATTACATAAAACTCAATACATAAAACTCGATACGTAAAACTCAATACATACAGGTATAAGTACAAGTTTAGGTATAAAAGTATAGGTACGAGAAAACGCAATATAAAAGATACATAAAACTCAATACGTCTAGGTATAGGTATGAGTATAAGTATAAACTCAGTATAAAAGTAAAAGTATAAAATACGTCTAAGTACAAGTATAGGTAAACTAACACTCGATACAACACACGCGAGCTACACTATCCGGTAATGCCCCCACGGTAGCGTGTTCGTCGAGTCCGGTACGACGTACCGTTTGTCGTCGTACGGACTCAGAGCGATCTTCTTCTCCGACACCGTGTACACCCGGTGTAACTTGGATCGTATGCACACCTGCCTGCGCGTCATTTCGATGTCCTCCTTCAGACACCGGGTGTAATCCTCGACCGATATCGTCCGCGCTACGACGCTGCTCTTCACCCCCTTCGCCTTCTTCGTGTCCCTCTTTCCATCGACGCGCAGCGCGTACATCTTCGCTCTGAGTTCGACGAACTCGGTCATGATGGCGCCGTTGTTCTCGTCCTTCATGAGGCCGGGCACCTTCTTGTTCGCGAGAGGCATACCGTACGCGTTGTTCGCGGGATAGTCGCTCGTGTCGAATCTGTCGATGTCGCGTTTCATGATTTCGTACACGTCGTCGCACTCTACATGGTAGATCAGACTGTCCGTGTCGGTGTACACGATCTTGCATCTATCGCGAAACAGCGGCGTCATGTACTCGTGGTGAAACTCGTACAAGCACGTTTTCGATATGTCCAGGATGTACATACCCACGTAGATCGGCTTGCCGAATTTCATCTCTAGTTTCCGCAATTCGACCGCTATCAGGTTTTCCGCGAAGACGCTGCGGCTGTGAAAGTTAGGTTTCGCGATCAACGCCTCCGCGCCGTACCGTCCTTCCCACGTCGTCTCCAATTTAACGTCGACGCGTTCGCGCACGTTCTCCATCGTCTTGCCGAACACCGCGTTGTTCATCAGTTTGTACAGGTTTTTCTCGAAATCGTTTTTCGCGCGCGTTCGAAACTGCGTGTTGAGTTCGATGTAGTCGCGGAGCCAGGCGGATTGCGCGAATCGCAACACGCGATAGATCTTCGTTACGCAAAGGCCGTGACGCGTGCACTGTTGCAGGTTGCGGTAGTGGACGACGTACCGCTGCTTGTCGCTTACCGTCGCGAGAAGCTTGTAGTCGCGCTTGCCGGGCGGCTTCGCGCGCGTCGGGTAGAACGGCAGGTCGGCGTGCGCGTCGTGGAGACGCCGCGGATACTCGAGATCCACCTCGAGGATGTACCCGGTGGGCGAATCCAACGCGACGGCAGTATAGTCGAAATTCTGCGCGTCGTCGACCCATGCAAAGTCGGCGTAGGGCAACGGTTGACACATCGCCCAGCCGTACAGGTTGTTGACGTCGTAATACATGAGGTACGACGACGGTTCCGACGGGTCGTACACCTGCATGTACTTATTATTGGCCCGCGCGTATCTGCCAGAACACTGGCTGAGACCTCCGCGTATGCCGCGCTCGACGAACATCACCATATCTATGTCTGTGAGTAACTCAAATTTCACGCGCGTGTGTTTAAGCATCGCGTCCCACGTGAAACCGGGCAGGGTGTAATAATGCGCGGGATCGAGTCCGTAACTCGCGACGCAACTGTCTCGAAAGTTCTCAAACACATCGGCCAACAACAGGACGTCAGTTTTTAAGTAGAGATCACTATACTCGCCGAGCGTTCGCACGGAGAACCGCTGCCACACGTTCTCGGCGTGCGCGTAATCGCTCTCGGACACTGTATCGCCCGTCAGCGAGCTGTGGAACGATTCGCGTGGCGGCAAGAGCGTATCGTTCAGTCTCTCTACGTTGTCCACGTACTCGTAGGGGAACACACCTTTATGAGTGAGCAAATCGAAGTCTTCGTCCGATAGAGCTGAAAATTCGGAACGCACGATTTTCAGTTTGTCCTTGTCGAGGTACGACGCCAATTTGTCCAGACCCGCACTCAGAAACTTATACGAGTCTATGAACCGTAGTTTCACGCACTTTCGCGAATCTTTGTCACTGGTGTCACTGGTGTCTTTGACGTGTTTCGTAAAGGAGATGTACTTCTCCTTGGTCAGGGGAAGTAGATCCACCTGTCCCTGGAATCGCGTCGCTATTTCCTGTACGACGAAGTGCGCGTCGTACCCCGACAGGTTGTGAAATACAACCGGAATGTACGGAGAGTCCTTGTAGTTCATGTTGCAGCCCTTGTGCGCCGGACCGCGGTATCGCCCGGTAAGGTGACAGTGGTCGCGCGCCCGCTCGTCACCCGGGGCGAACGGCCTCTCGCAGATGTGGCAGTGCGTCGCGCTGTCGAATCTCCGCCAGTCGTCGCGCGTGAAGTCCATGGGCCGGTTGGTCGTTATTATATTTTTCACGCGGTGCGCCAAAGCCTCTGGCTGGCTCGCGAACCAACTGACGCAGTCGTTGCCCCGCCGACATCTGTACTCGGATAACGCGCTGTCGTACGAGCAGTGCACGTAGTACGCGATACTGAACGCTTCGTGCCGCTGGTACGCGTACGACGACCCAGCAGCAGCAGCGTCTTCCGTCTTCTTCAGCACACACTCTAGGTCGGCGTATACCACGAACGGTGCCCGCTCCTTCCTGCAGTACTTGCGGAACTCTAGCCATTTGTCGTCTGTGCTCGGTAGACGGATAGCGCACGTGTAGAGCTTTTGGCAGTCCTCGCTGTGTCTCTCCAGTTTCTCGTTGGAGGAGAAGTAGTGGAGGCACCTGCAAACGACAAACACTTATTAAGTATAACATTCTTTTTGGCTTACTATTATATTTTACTTATCGCACTTACCGGTCGCAGAAGTATTTCCTATTCTTCTTTTTGTTAATCTGCGATTCTACGAGTCGGGACAGATGCTTGATACACACGAAGGGGCCGTCGCCGTCTTGCATGTACAAGAGGTTGACGTCCCTCTTGCAGTCGGTGAGCCGCAGAGGGAGGACGTCCCCGTCCTCGATGCCGTACACGTTCACCGACACCGTGTTCGAGCGCTCGAATTTCGCAACGTCTTTCAGCGTTACCGGAAACTCGATATCCGCGAAGTTGAGCACTTTAAAATAATGCGGATACGACGATGTTCAATTCACATGATTGTCCGCAGGGTACAAAGCAGCGACCATCGACCACGCGAAGCACGCATTGACGTCCATGGATCGCACGTTGACCAGCGCTTTCTTGTCCTCAATGTTCTTCGGCACTGTAACGTGACACCCCGCGCGCATGGGATTGAGTTTATTCACATTGACCGTTAGGTTCAGAATACGCGAGAGCGCCCACCCGCTGTCGCGCTCCTGATGCTCATCGAGCGACGCCAACGTGGGCTCGATAATGCGCGACGCGTACCACTCGCGCAGATCGTTGCACCGATACAGTTCGCAGTTTTTACTGTTTATCCCCATGACTGTGCGTTTGTCACCCGCGATAAACTCGCCGTTGAAGGCGGTGTTCACTTTGACGGTACCATGTATGTCTATAGCGCCCCGCACACGCTCGAGCACTACACTTTCGGCGTCTTCGAGGAATTGTCGAGGCTCGATCTGCCTGGAGTTTATAACGGCCCCGGTTAGAACGCGATTGGCGAAAGCGGCGTCGATCTCGCGCCAAGCGAGAGATCTATCGTTCTCGCGATCACCACCACCACCCACGTGCACGAACCGTCGTTCCAGCAGTGTTCGCGCACCCTCGAGTCGCGCGATCCTCGCCACCGCGGATTGTCTGTGCCCGACGGTAAGACGCGGACGCTTGGCGCGACACTCGAGGCTCTCGATGCACTCGTTGCACCTCTCCAACCACGCGAAGCACTCGCCCAAGGTGGCGACGCGGCCGCACTGCTCTAGCAGTTCGCGTTCCGATCGCTCGTAGTCTTCCATTTTTACAACAGTTTAATTTTTTTCCTCGAAGCTGCAGCTATACGCGGTTTGTTCACACAGTCCGCAACCCCGCTCTAGGTACACTATGTCAAACAGATGCTGCACCTTTTTGTCGTGTTCATCACTGGTTTTTTTTTCCTTTACGCTGTGCAAATCGGGCAGCACGGGAATACCAGACACATCAGTTTCCGGCAATTAGAGCACGTTTCAGCGCTGAGTACCTCGATGAAATCGGTATCGTGCTTCCTGATCATCGACCCGACTTCGGCGATGTTCACCATGCACTCGGCACACAGGGTTAGCGCTCCGCCGTGTAGCACTGGATCTGGCAGTGTTTCACGCGAAAAACACCCAATGCCCGAATTTGCGCGTCCGGGATAATTTTTCGCATACGATCGGTAGCGTTCTCAAGATCGCTGACGCATCCAGTATCGTTCGATAGAACACTGTCGTCGGAAGACTCAACGTCTATAACGTCTTCCATCTTCGATCATCCCGTCGGGATCTATCACTTGGGTATCGTCGATCACTGTGTATATAATACTTGCACATTTCAACACGATCGGTTCCTTAATGTGGCGCACCGCGCTTCCGACTCGTTATTTATATTTCGTTTGCGACTTCTTTGTCCTAACCTCTCAGTACGCGTCTTCCTAGAACGAATATCGTTATCGCGCAAGATAATGCGTCTTCCTAGAACAAATATCGCGAAAGATAGTGCGTAGTAATTTGATACTTGTTTTCGTTCAGCAGCCGAATCATCGGCGCTCGAACTTGTCGCCGCTCTTCTTGGAACTTTATCGCGGAAGATAAAGCGTAGTAATTTGATCCTTGTGCGTTGGATCACTATGAAAGTTCGGCAGCGCTCGAATTCCTAGAAATTTATCGCGAAAGATAACGCGTAGTACTTTGATACTCGGTATCGTCTCGGAGGGGGAAACGCCCGCGCTGGAGCCATGCGTCACGTGATCAGTGTCACGTGATCGGGACGGTTTTTGAAAAACTCATTCGATGATGAGTCATTGCCGGGCAGCGGCGACCTTTTTTGAAACAATAATATCTCTGCGGCTGCCTTTTGAAACGGTATCCCGGCGAGGGGGCAGCGGGGGGACGGCGCGATAAGGCGGTTAGACCGACGCGATAAGGCCGGCGGTCAGGGCGAGGGGACCGCGCGGCGGCGGCGGCGGCGCGATAAGGCCCCGGCGAAGGCCGCCCGGCTCCCCCCTCCATTGCGCCTCACACACACACACACACACACACATACGTATCGCGTATACGTACACACGGATATGCACTAACACATAGTGGTCTAGAACCCGCCTAGTATATCTATTTTTATTTGAGTCGGAATGGGGAGCTAACCATCCTTTAAAAGTATCTTCGTCTAACCATGAATATTGAAATGCGCGAACTCTTTGTTTCTTAATAGCTCCTTTATTGACATTCGGATCCATAATGCACAAAATCACAAATACGTTAACTAATTGTACGAATTGTATCTAATAAGCTTTCTCACCTATTTAATACTTACTTCATCTTACGTTATATTTCCTTCCGCGAAGATTCCGCCAAAACAGTGGTGCCACTCGTAACCGACATTCGACGCTCGTTAGTCTATTACGTATATACATAACTGTTTTCGTCATCGCGACGCCGCGCATGCGCGAAAACGGGAGCCCATCTAACAACACTGGCTGAAACCTGGCGATTCCATTATGGGCGATCGGTATTGGCTACAATTGATTCGTTTGAGCCGTGCATTGCTAGAAAAACGGCCGGATTACGAGCAAAGACATGTTAAAGTTATTTTTCTTCATGGCAACGCTCGGCCCCATGTCGCAAAAGTCGAAAAAAAAAATTTGGAAACGCTCAAATGGGATGTTTTACCGCACGCGCCATATTGCTTATTCTGATTAGTGATTGTTCCGAAGGATGCAGCACAATTTGGCAAGTCATCGGTCCACCTCTTTCGCAGAAATCGAAAATTTGCTCGCCTCCAAAGACGAGTCATTTTTTCGAGATGGAATTCGAAAATTACCTGATTGATGAGAAAAAGTAGTAGCCAGCGATGGACAATACTTTAATCAAATTGTTCATTCATTTTTTTTTAATAAATGCTTGAAATGCATTTTTAAACACGAAAAAACGAACCGAACTAATTTGTACTCACAATACAATGAAAACGTACAATGGGTAATTAAATTCGCGACATAATTGATAGAGAAATATATTTAATACGCGAATACAAAGAGTTATTATAAGCGTGCCGAATAGCGAGTGTATCGAACGAATGTATGTGTACAACTGAGTGTCCGAATCGATCTTCTATTGTCGATAGCTAGATCGTTGCCGAGACGCGCTTGTGTTGCCGTTCATGTCGTAGACGTAGGTAACACCTCCCCTATCTGAAAGTCGAGCACTGGTAATCTTTCAGTTCGAGTGGACGGCATCTGTTGTGTTGAGAACGTCTAAGTACTTGTTGTTGAGATTCCTGTTGAAAAGTTTCTGGTTGCTGACCTAGATGTAGACCTGGGACTCTTGTGTTTGTACCAGGTATGTAAATATGAAACCGGAATTTACCAATAGATGGCCATAGCTGTCAATGTAGTTGCCGTCAGACCGCGCCATTGACGCCATTTCCTTGTTCTGACATCTGACAAAGATTTTCAACTCACAACAATACAAGTTTCATACAACAGTATAGTTTGTAATAGCGTTGAACATGTCGAATTTTGTGCCTGGAAATTACGATTTGTGGACGGCATTGATTTTTTATTATCATTTGAAGAAAACTGCTGCAGAATTGCATCGAATGCTTGTCGAATGCTTACGGTGAACATGCTCTTAGTAAATTACAGTGTTTTGAGTGGTTTAAAAAATTCAATAGTGGCGATTTTGATGTGAGAAACGAAGAAACCGGAATATCAAAAAAGGCAACACAAAGTGATTTTGTTTCATGATAATGCACCATCACACACAGCAAAACTGGTCAAGGAAACGATTGAGGCGTTTAGTTGGGAAATACTTTCGCATGCGGCTTACTCACCAGACTTGGCTCCGTCCGATTACTACTTATATCGATATATCGATGGGACACGCACTTGCTCAGCAGCGCTTCACTTCTTACGAAGATATACGAAAATGACTAGATGACTGGTTTGGCTCAAAAGAGCAACAATTTCTTTGGCGTGGCATCCACAAATTGTCAGACAGGTGGAAAAAATGTATAGCTAGCGATGGGCAATACTTCGAATAAAATATTTTTGATCATTTTCATGCAATAAACGTGTATTTTCTATAAAAAAAATTCCGGTTTTATATTTACATACCTGGTCAAGATCTTGATTTCCAGACAATTCTTGAGGTTGCAATAGTTCTTGTCTGGTGCTTTCGAGAGGTTGAGGTGACGTGGAAATTCCTTGAGGTAAAGTGAAAGTTTATTTTCCTTGAGGAATAGAGGAATTTTCTTAAATATCAGCTTGTTTTCCTCCATCATCAAAAGCATTGATTAATATCTCAAGTGGTAGTTGAATTTCCCGTTGTTGAGGTGAGTCGTCATTGTCCTTGATAAATCGAAACATAATTTGATTTGCATGAGATCGACTTCGTGTGTTAACAAGTACGTTGTAGATAATTCTCTTCCAACTTTTTTAACTACTTCTCCAGTAATCCAAGACAATTTATTGTAAGCAGCGTTTGTCGACATCTAGATGAAACCATCTTAGATGGTCATCTAGATGGAAAATTGGAACAACTCATCTTACATCCAGATTGTGCAAAATATAAACCATCTTCATCTTAAAGAGAAAAATATACCATCCTATCTAAAAAAAATTTTAGATGATTTTGTAACAACCTAACTTTCGTCCTGCTCGGATCTAGCTCGTCGGGTTATGCGGCCAGGAGTTCGAAAGATGTTCGCGCAGAGAGAAAGTGCAGTGGAATCTCAGACAACGGTTGTGTTATGTTTAGAAAATGAATCTTTTACATATGAGTTGTGCGGCTCGAAGGCCTGTGTACAA